AGTATCTGGGGAGCTGGAAGATGAGAACTGGCGACTTTGTGGTACAACTGCAGTACGCGGAGTATCTGGGGAGCTGGAAGATGAGAACTGATGACTTGGTAGTACAACTTTAGTACGCGGAGTATCTGGGGAGCTGGAAGTTGAGAACTGGCGACTTTGTAGTACAACTTTAGTAGGAGGAGTATCTGGGGAGCTGGAAGATGAGAACTGGCGACTTGGTAGTACAACTTTAGTACGCGGAGTATCTGGGGAGCTGGAAGATGAGAACTGGCGACTTGGTAGTACAACTCCAGTACGCAGAGGTGACTTGCGAGAGGTCAAGAACTTGCAGAAAAGAGGTGTTCCTGCACGTCAGAAAGACATACGGAGAGAGACACATACACACACAGAGACATAGATACACACACAAACACCCACACACTGCCTCAACACACTCGACTTAACACTTCACACTGAACACTTAACACATAACTCACACTCTAACTTCACACGTGATGAAAAATGCTTTCCGGCCACTCGTCGTCTAGTTAGTATTGGGCCTTGGCCACCGTTTGATCTTGACCATTGAATGAGCTTGAAGGCATTTGAAGGCATTTGGTGTCCGCCTCGTTCACCATGTATTTCAAGGCCCTTGGTGGCCAAGGGCACCAAAGGGACCCAGGCTGCACCGTGAGCTCGCCGACACCCGAAGCCTCAGTCCCAACACGGTTGTTCAAACTCTGTCCATTGAATCCAGCAAAGGTGTTTTTGACCATTCAAGATCTGAAGGACAGCCTTTGGAGGCACTTCCTGGTCAACCCATATCATATCAACCCAACATTCTTCTCCAACAGCGAGCCACAATGAGCGTGCTGTCGTTTAAATTATGCCAGCATCGACCCCAACCAGTTTCAGCCTTGTTTTTGTGCGTCAACTCTTCGAATTCGACATGTGCAAAACAAAGGGAAACAAGTAATGAGAATATCCGAGGATAGGATGATATCAAATTTGAACGCTGCACAACGCAAACAAGCAGGACAAGCAGGGCAAGCAGGACAGACGGACCAGGAAAAGACTTGGACAAGGCTGGACAAGGCGGCGGCGCCGCCGCCAAGCAGACCCGGACAATGCCTGGACAAGGACAACGCAGGGCGGTGCGGCCACTGCTATCATGGCCAGCCATTTCTTTCTGAAACTGCTTGGGTTGGGGAACAAGAGGAGGACACAGCGTTCGCAAGCATGGCCAAAGGACAGAAGGAGAACAACAAAAGGACAACACACGGACACAGTTTTGAAGGGCACAACTAGAAACTGGCCAGTCTCTTTTTTCCAGAGAGAGAACCCCAACAGTAAACTGTTTAGAGAAAAGGTACCCAGCAAGGACTTGGAGGCCATAGCTAGTAGGTTGGAGGCCATTTCGTGTAATGAAAAACCCAACGCAGGACGTCCACCTCCTCGGAGCCCCCCCACAGTGGCACGAGAGCCATTCACGGTGCCGCTCCAGAGGCGCCTCAGCGGAATCGCGCCCACAACATGGATGCAGCGGCCGTGAAGGACAGCAGGGGCCCTGCAGGCATGCAAACTGCTTGCTGCTTTGGGGGCTGTGCGCTTTTGGGCTGTTTTGGCTTGGGGTCAAGCTAGGGATTGGGACCATTCGCACGTTGCAGCTTCTGCTTGACACCTCAGTTTTGTCTAAAGCCTTGCGCACCATTGGTGCAAGCCTGCCCAGCTCGCTGGCTGTTCGATGAATATCAATCGGAAAGAATTGTATCAACTCAAGCATCCTGTATTGCGTGATTGGTTTGTTCATGTTTTTGCCAACTTGGCTTTGCCAACTTGGCTTTGCCAAGGATGCTACCGCAAAACGATTTGCAGTTCTTCGGTGACAATCTGTACACTGCCACTCCAACTTAGACTCAGAAGTCGGACTCCTTGACTCGATAAGGAGTTCAATCCTCTCTCTTTTTGCCGACGTTTTACGCGCCAAAGCATAGCAAAGGCTCGCCTGAACGAGGATATGAATAGTAGACTCCACCTGGCTTGCCACCAACATATGGCCTGCCATAATTTTGGAGTACCAGCTTGTCTGCTCCATCTAGCTCTTTGGCAGAAGGGCCCTCCACTTTCTCCATGGTGTGCTTGTCGGTGACTTCATCCCCCTTCACCGCGTGGGTAAAGTCTGCCACATCGTAGTTGGCGAGGAGGGCATTGCTCTTCTCGAGTCTCTGCATGTCCTGTGCATGGGCCTTCTCGTAGTCAACACCAAACTTGTTGACACGCTCTACAAGTTCTGCGGCAGTGAGGCTTGAAGCATCGGCAAATGCCTGGCCAGCAGCGTGTAACTTCTGCAAAGCTTCTTTCAAATAGGCCAGGGGAAAGTGGCGCAGGCGCACAAAGTGGGCACCACGTCTAAAGACACCCAAATGTGAGGGCAACAGCGGCGGGAGCATAAACTGAAGATGCAGCTGGTACTGTGAGGGTGGCAAGTTGAAAGCCATTATGACATGTTCCCTCAGAGCATCTACTGGCATCTCATTTCCTGCAGCTGATAGAGCTTTCTGCTTCCACTCAGGAGACGCCAAGTGATTTTGTGTCAGCGCAATCCAGGCCGAGTCTTCCATCTTCTGCAAAAGAGCAAGAGCTGCACCGGGATTGGTGAAGAGGTATCGAATGTCAGCACAGTACTGATCTGTTGGTACAGAAAGAACGTGAGCACCTGTGATTGACAACGGGTCGTCAAAAACCAAGATATCTCTCGTTTCTAAGCGTATTGAAATCCTCAAGGGGAAGGCCGTCTTGTCCACGCCATAGATGAAGGCGACAAAGAGGTTTGCACTCTTGGACACGGCGACTTCCTCCAGCGCTGTTCCACAGGCATTGCAAAGAGCCATTGTGACAGCACAGGGCTTTCCACAATTGGGGCACTTTTTGATTTCGTTGTAGGCTTGGCTCAACAACTGTGGATTCTCTTTGATCCACACATCAAAGCCACATGTCATCTTTGGCTCCTGTAGCCCCACTTCTTTGGGAATCTCCACAGATGGGAAAGCTGCTGCAATGGCACCTGCGAGAAGTGCACCATCGGCTCTGCAGCCTTCCTTGCTCCAACTTGAAGACATGATGGGCCAAGTTCGGCCGTGGAATTCGGGTTGCTTGAGCACTATCGGGGTATCACAGAAAAAACAATTGTCAGATGTTCACATGAAGAAGTGACCACTCTTTGCATGCCTCGGACCAATCCTTGAGCATGCCGCTGTGGTCAAAATCTAAGGTCCTTTTGTCCTTCGACTAGGTCTTGTCAAAATCCCAGGTGAACGAACAAGCCTTCCCAAAAGATATCAAGCAAATAATTTCACATTGTCTCTGCGCCGATTCTGGCTCCAGTGATTTGAACTTGCATCCAAGAAGCCAAAAAGCGGACTTTCTTGCAAAGACCTGGCGTCAAAAAACAGCCTTGCTCATGTTTCAGAGTCTCAGTTGGTTTTGGGGTGTTTTGAGCGTTTAGCTTGCAATTTGCTTGTTGGATGGAGTACATGTGGTTAGTAAGTTCAAACAGAAATTTGTGAGGGCAAAAGCGGCAAAATGTGGGGAAAAATCAACATGCCAGGCGATGCATTGTGCTATTCAAGAACCCTCAACACATGCCAACCCAAACAAGCCACTGGCAGCTGCAGCACGTCGGCCATTGCAGCATCTGGAAGTCTGGAAGCAAAGAATCTTCCCTCGCTGTACGCGTCAAAGGTCCATGCTCTTGCAGTTCCAACGTCTAGAAATATCTATATAAAGACTTTCTCCTGAGAGTATGGTAGATAGATCTAAGAATGTTCCACGCTATCGTGGAGTCCATAGGCATGCATAGCATTGGCATAGGCGATCAACAAATAGCTATGTTCTGTACACATCATCTCAATTCGATGACACTTTGTGATCATTGTCGCCACTTCATCCGAGCCATTCGCCAATCAAGCCTTCGACCAAACTTGTCCAGTTGCGTGCGCTTATTCCCTTCCCAGTAAGCTCGAGAATCTTTGCAGCGCTCAACTTGGGATACTGTGTCTTTTCTTTCTCTCTCTCTCTCTCTCTCTATCTCTCTCTCTCTCTCTCTCCATCTATCTCCTTCTCTTTCTTTTACCAGGCATGTACAGAAGCTGCTCTGGACACAGCCCATCAAAACCTCGTAACCAATCGCGCAGGTGCGCAATGACTAGCTGAATTCTGAATTCGGTCTGGCTTGGTGCTGAGAATCAATGATCAACACCAAGCATGCAACCGTCGGCAGACAGTAGGATCAAGCGGCCCGATGCGGCTCGTGTTCCTTCTCTCAGAACTTTCGGCACTTCAGCTGAAGCACAGCTGTAAGTCTTCCTTGTTCTGGCCTCCTGGCTCAAAGAAGAAGCAGACAGGATCAACCAGGAAGCTCAGAACTTGTAGCTTGAGAGGCAGATGCGCAATGACGTCCGATAGATGAGTATTTCTATGGGGCAGTAACGAAAATTTGGTCTGCTCAGTCTGCTCCTCTTCAAACTTGCAGGAGAGTGATCGGGCTCGGCGTTCCTGGCATGCCATTGAAGTAAAACTGCAAGTCGCAAGTCTCTGTGTTCGGGGGCCACGGAGCAAGGGCATCGCTACTAGAAACAAAGGGCATTAGTAGCTTCTTGTTACTACTAGTAAGGCACTTGTTACTAGAAGCGATGCACTTGTTCCTAGTAGCTTATTGTTACTACTACTAGGAGCATTCTTGCTAGTAACAAGAAACATCCTTTTTACGTTAACGCCTTTGTCACAAAACATCACAGAACGAGAGGCAGTCAAGCGGGGCCTTTCAAACCAAACCCGTCGAAGACAATTCAAAATGAAATAGATCGGCTGCTTCCAGTCTCTGAACCTCAATCTCAAAGCCCACTCAAGAATACTTTTAAAACATCTTGTAAGCAATCGTGTTTGGCACACAGGTCGCTACTGTATAAGCTACTCAGCAATGTGTGTTTTTGCTGCAAGGCTCCGTGGACTGGCCTTCTGTTGAATGAGCACAGCTCGAATTGGGCATCAAGCTAATCTATTTTCCGGCTACTGTATATAACGGAGATGTGGTGTGGTCATGAGACGACTATATCAAGTGAACTACCTGGCCCAAAGCCTCCTACAAGTAGTCAACTGAGGACTCAACTGTGCGACAGAGCGATCTGGCAGAAAGTTCAGGTCGTACCACTCGACTGGACCTCTGTGGGACGTAAAGTTGCCACATCACATCTTCATCGAAAGAAAATCTGTCTGAAGGCTCGGTGGTCGTAAAGCAAACAAGGCACACATGAGGTTCAGTACAAATAAAGGTCGCAAATTACCGGCTGCTGCAGCTGCGATGGATTGCGGTCCTCGACCTCGTGCAACTCCCTTGGAGTTCTGAGAACACCCCCGGCCTTGTCCGTCTAATAATAATCCGAATAAGATGTATATAATGGTAGAAAATAATAGATCCTAAATGATCCTAATAGATCCTAATAGTACACATTGGAGATTTGGGGAGTCGTCTAATGTGTCACATGATTCCAAGCCTGGCCTGACTGAACTTTTGAGAAACTGCTGGTGGCATAGAAATTTGCAATGGACGTGTGGATTGGCGTCTCTTCCACAAAGCGCCCGTTGATGTATAGAAACATGAACTGGTCGCTGGCGTGGCCGTCTTTCAATCTTGAGATGACACCTGCAACAAGGTCCAAGTTGAACTCCATCAAGTTACCCAAGCGATCTATGCTAGTTGCCGCAACCCCAGCACCTTCACAAAGTCCTACACACGACTATGCTGGGAGCATCTTCAAGATGAAAAGCAGAATGTGTCCCACCTTCTAGGCTGCATGCACTTCGGCTTGATGAGAGCTGCACCCTGGCCGCAATGCTATGAAGCCTACTGAAGCTCCAAAAATTAAGGCTGTCTAATGCTTCCTGTTTCTCATCCTAAGAAAGCGCTAGGCCGCTAGATGTTCTTACCGAAGGCCTGTCACTGTTCCTAGCGGTGTCGGTCCGTCTGGGTTGTCAATGTCTGAATGCTCACTTGAACAGGTCGCTTGTCGCAGCGCGGTGGCCTGCAAAGAGCACGGGCGCAGCTCAAACCAAGAACGCGCTGCATTCGAGACATGACATCTTCCTGCTTAAGGTCAATGATCTCTACCTGCACGAGCAAGCTTGTTCGAGGATATTTGATAAAATCAATCACGCTAATGGATCTTGGAAAGTCTGAGCAAGCAATGTAAAGAAGTCGAAGCACGCAATGTCGGCGTTTTGATCTCAGGATCTCTTTACCCCAAACTCTCTCTCTCTCTCATTTCCTCACCTTGTCCTGCTATTGAAAAAGTACACTGTCCAGCCATAGCACAAAATTGACACACTTAGCACGGTCTGAAACAAGAAAAACATCTGCTAGTACCAGGGGCATCGAAGGGCATTACTACTATAGTAGCTTCTAGCTGCTAGTAGTAATGCCCTTGTTGCTAGTAGCATACATAGTCTCCTCACCAACCTCACCCTGCCTCTCGTGGGCCGGTGCGAAGCCGCAGTGCCAGCTGCGGCCGCAGCAACGCCATCCGGTCCAGCCGTCGGCGCAGCTCCGACGGGCCCTGCTGGCAGCAATGATCATAGGATCGTGCTGATGGATCATGAGGTTGGAAAATCACGGAAGATCTTCAAAAGAAATAAGAAATAGATTGCAAGTAGGTGTGGTTCGATTTAGATCGAGTCTAACGCACAATGGACACGATCGACACGCGTCTGGCCTTGCGGCAGGCCAAAAAGCCCTCGACGCGCAGTGTAGTACCAACACCTATCAACTCATTGGGTCTACAGTGAATGTTCTTGAGTGTAAGGACTTGATCTTGATGTACACTGCTTTCAACTTTATATTAGACCTTCTTGAAAGTTTCTTCCGAATGTGTAGTAGGCAAAGGTTTCCGGCGAAGGCCTTCAGCATTCTGATTCCAACACAGCATTCAGGCAACTCAAGCACTCAAGCAGTGCTTTGGATTGTGAGCAGACTGAATAGCTCAATTGAGCCCTTGAGCTTGTAAGCTCCTTGACAGCTAAGTCTGTGTGAGGCACCTCCTCTTGGACTGCCGCTTGGCTCACATCTCACAGCTATGCCGCGCTCGAAGCACTTGCACCATGTTTCTTTGCTGGCCACCTAGGAGGATGTCCCTTTCGTGTGGCTTCCCTTGGTTCTGATTCTATTATATTCTATTCCTCCCCGTCTCGACGGTTGTGCTAGAATCAATGGCACCTATGCCTCTACCCAAATATTAAACTAAACTGATTATATTATGATTATATAACTATTCTTATCTGATTCTTCTCCTCCAAGGAGAAAGGGCATGAAGGACAGGGAAGGCAAGGGATGGGCAAATGAAAGCAAAGGAGCAATGCGGACGCCGACCTTTCAACATCTTTCGACTCAGTTCGACTCGCCAGCCTTCGAAAGGATGAGCACACGCTCACATCGTGCCACTAAAGCTGCTAGTGACTCTCCTCGACCCTGACCACCTCGAGCACCGCGATGCCCAAGAAGTGAAAAATCCTGGTGCGTTCCGCATTGGGTCCAAGCATGCTCCAGAGAAATCCCACCTCTTTATAAAGGGTCTAAGAACTCTGCTTCACACATACTTATCAGACTCTGCTCATCAAAAGTCAAAGCTTGAATGTCAAGTCTCTGAAGGATCAATGCCAAGGCCATTGTCTCGAACCTCCAAAGCGCATCCGACTGAAGACTCCTGCAGCTCCACCTGAGAAAAAGGGCTTGGTTTTTGAACTGTATGCACTTGCAGAATGCCTCACTGGTGTTGCTTCAGCTATAATAAGTCATTCCATTCAGCAGTTTCCAGCGGTTTTGACACTGCAAGGAACTGATCAAACCAACTAAAGTGAACAAATCTATACTACCGACCGGTGACTTAGGACTTGTGTGGGCCAGTGACATAGTAGTTGTGGCCCACTACGCCTAAGTCATTGGGAACACAAAAACTGCAGAGTTGCTGATTCAAGCCTCATGACTTGGGAATTGTCGCCAGCTGATGATCAAGCATTCTGTTTTTTTCAGGGAGGGAGGGGAATTGATGCACACAGAACAAATGACATAAGAAACGGCCTGCTCATCATGTTTCATCATGCCTCCTGTACATTGCTCAAAAATGCTTTAAAACCCATGACAAAGGAGTTGTAAAACCCACAATACGTTTGACAACTCCTTTGTCACTAGTCGAGAGTATAAAGATTGAAACTGAAACTATCGATGAGTGCTATTCAACCAACCGTGCTACCATCTTTGGAGCCCAAAGCCGCCTCTACCATGGAGGCCTCTGCATCGATGGCGTTCAGTACCATCTCTTCTGCCGCACGGGCTAACGACGGCACCACCACCCCTCCACGCAGCTTCCTGAAGCTCCAAAAACGACCCAAAAGCTCCGAGTGCGCCGGGTACAATACAACGGTCAAACAGGCTTCGTACAAACCACAAAACACCTGGTCCCTACAGGAGACTGAGGCGTCCAAGGATCGCAATGACATCGTCTGGCAACTTCTGAATAACTGGAGCAGTGTCCATCGCAAAAGCTGCTGTTTTGCAAAGTACAAACAAACATCATCTGACTCCCTTCGCGGTTGGCAAGTTTACGTGAGACGTTCATTGTGTAGGTGTTTTCATGTTTGTTCAGTGCAAATGTCCATCCTTCAGAATAGCTGAGCCACCGATGGCATGCTGACAAGTTCACTCGAGGCCAGTGGGGGTCAACAAAAGCTAGGGCGATCGGTTGCAAGAGTTCATCGTGTAATGAGCCAACTATATTAGCACAGCGTATCTTTCGCGATAGGGCCTTTTTGTTCTCAACCTGTCAAGTCACGCACATCGAGGGTCAAAGCCGAAAGTTCTGAAGAAATTGCTGGACAAGAAGTGTGGGATCGCGTGCTCTGCGCTTCCACACATCTCTCAAATGTGGACTAAAGCAAGTCGAAAAAAGTTGCCTTGTGGAGGTTTCACATCGCACAAATCAAGAGTTGAGATTATTCACGTGCAAGTAGCCAGCCCCTCAATTGATCCTTCCTCAAGGCCCTCGTGGCACAGGGACGGGGGGGGGTAGCCACGACTACTACTACTT